CTGTCTGTGTGTCTCTCTCTCTCCCTCACCCCAACTGGTCGAGGCAGACAGCCACCCACCTAAAGTGGGGTCTTCTGCCTCTTAAAAGGATGTTTTTCCTTGCTGCCTTCGCCAAGTGCTTGCTCATGGTGGGAACTGTTGGGTCTCTGTAAATCATTTTATAAGGAGTACAGTCTTGACCTGCTATATTTTGAAATGTGTCCTGAGATAACTTCTGTTATGATTTGGCGCTATACAACTAAAATTGATTTTAATTGAACTAAAAGTCTATCAATTCTTGTATTTGGGATTTTTCCTCATTCATCATCACAAAAAGTTTCTAGTTCTGCACCGTCTTTCCTGCACTACCCAGATTTTTTATTAGGTTTAAGACAGGGGACTATATCTTTAAGCTTTCCAAATAAGTAGAACATTTTTATTTTGTACATTTAAGCATTCTGAAAGACCTTTTATGGATCTGTGAGGATCTCATTACCACCACCATCATAACCAATTTGGAAAACCTACCCTGTAGCGGCGCTGAGTTATTGCTGGATGGTGCTGTGCTTCTGTCATCCAGTTCATCAAGATAGAGTCGGTAGTGATGGCCATTGTCGTCTTCATATTCCACATTCTCATCATCACTGTCGACCTCTGGAGCCACATACACCACCTCAAACTCTATCTGTCCTCGCTGACACAGACACCCAGAATGAGAAACAGAGAAACAGTGAAGTGTAGTGTGCTTCTGTGTGCATGACTGTGTTACCTGCTGGGACAGAATGGTGACAGCCTCCTTGTGTTTGGCATCTCGCAGATTGATGCTGTTGACAGCAAGAATGGCATCTCCAACATGCAGACCTCCACATCTGTCTGCGGGCTGACTTGGATGGATCTCTGAAATTAGAATGGGAACACCGTGCTCCTTCCCACCCTGATGAGAACATACATACAAGAGTTAACTCAACTTATTTGACCAAGTCCTCCTCTATTTTATGAAGATGTCAGCATAGTTTTGGTAATGTAAAAGATGTATTGACCAGCCAATAGGACTGCACACTAACAACACTTCTGTTTATGTACTGAGCATCCTAAATGGGCATGCAAGTACTCATTGCACTGTACTGTACTCTGTTTAAATTTTTTTGGCATACATGATCAATTGATATTTTTTTTTGTCTTATAGTTCATCTCAACTTCAACAGTTCTGCTTAATTTCAATATCCGTATTTTGAATAGGCAGCAATTCTCCCGCCACTACTGGCTGCCTCCTACCCAAACAAGCTGTACCATACATTAAGGGCTGCAGCTATCTACCTACTGTAATCGCATCATGCAGTTGAAATGGGCAGGCTGTGGTTTAAAACAGAGGAAATATGTTTGTCCGTTGCTGGTGAAGAGCAGAAAATTCAGGGAATTCAGAGAGAAGGCTGTAGGCATAAAAGCCGTGCATAAGGGTGGCACTGCCTTCCTTGTCCTTATGGCTGTAATCATGTGTACATCAGAAACTATGGCTGTAGTGGCAAAATACTGCAGTCTGAACATATCCTTAATGCTTTGTCCTGTGAAAAAACAAGAAGCTTGTGGCATTTTATAGCCTTTCGTGGCATTGTAATGGTAAATTTCCAGATTCCAAGCACATTTTCATGAGAGGAGAAAAGTCAGTAAGGTTTAGCTGGTACTCTTGACAAGGGCTTGCACAAACATCATCTATATGGAACATATACACAATGAGAGGTTCATCTTGAAATTGGAGAAACACAGTTTTGTATCATTTTTTAAGCCATAAAGCCATGCCTGGTGGATTTTTGGGGATTAGTTTATTTCTTGCTGCCATCTTTTCACTTGAAGTAATTGGTTTGCATATGATTGCATGGCTTTGTTGGCTGCTTTAACTAGATCTTGGGTGCAATTTCAAGAGGCTATCATGGCCACTTTCAGGAAGAGAAAGAAGTAGTTCACTTCTTACTGTAATGGAGATTCCCAGCCCCTCATGGTCATCTTTGACTAGCACCACCTTTCTGATAGGGCCTACCCCCTGGGTTTTCTTCAACATTTCTGGGTCCTGTAATTACATTTACAAATTAAACTTTGGAAGCAAAAAATAAAGGTGCCAACAGTTTCAACTGATTTGTAGTTTTACACTTACATGCCCCACAGGAGAGGGAAGAGGTTTCTTGGAATCATTACGACCTCTACATGCCCGGATGACAGTCTTATGGCGGTGAAGGTGAATCTCTGCCTCCAGTTGATTCCACAGCTTGTCGTGGGCTGGCCCTTTCATGTCACGCCCCAGTAACTGAATCTGTTGTACCCTTAAAGACAAACCAAAAAATTCTGATGTCAATTCAAATTTCAGGCAGTGCCTTTTTGAAATCATTTTAAATACAAAAAAAATCTATGAATTCCAAAAAAAGATTTCTGCTGCTTATCAAACAAAATTGTCACCTTCAAACAGAACAAGAATATACCCCACCTCCACCTGGGATCCTTGAGATGTATTCCAACTCATTCAGCAAGGTGTACTGCCGGCTGTACCTTAATAAGAATATTGTGAGTTGGATCGAGGTTGCCACTTTGGGCAGATACTTCTAGTCGGGGAATGGAGGTGTGAGGAGTGGTCCGTCGACATTTTTTAAATGTAGTTATGTACTGCAGGCTGCTGCTTTTTATATAGATCATTTATAAAATATTCCGAATTTTGTGATGCATTTTCATCAATGCACGTTCCATAAAATTATGACAAATTCTAAACTATATTAGTCACAGCCTCCATCTAACTACACTATGTGTAATATGTGAAATATCTTGTGCTTCTTTGTGTTTTCTTTTGTCTTTTAACATCTTGGGACCATGCTGGAAAGAAAGTGTTGTCACTTTAACAGGTTATCCAGAAGATTTTTATTCATATTTTATATATCTATATATAAAATCAACCAATCAACCAATCAATCAATCAATGTCTCCATAGGAAACCCTCAAATTGAACCTAAAAGATCTTGTGAGATTTGACTCCTTACCTGCCAGCCAGTTCCTTGTCCAAGTATTTGGCTGCCAGTCTGGCTCCATACACTTCAGCCTGCAGTACTGCCAGATGCCTACGAAGGGCCTCATTTTCTTTCTTATATAGTCTCACTTCTGCCTCCAGCCTTGCTTCTGCTAATTTCTCCTTCTTACTGGCCTCAAGCTCCTGTTCCTAGAACAAGGACATCACAACACAACAAGTACTACAGGTGAGTGGATGAGGAAAATTATGTTAATCTCTGGCAGCCAAATACAGTGCCACTTAGTGGTTATCAAACTACTTATAAGTAGTTAGTTAATAGTTACATTCATCTATAAAACGGGTAGCTCAAATTAACACTGTTAATCAAACAATATGGGCCGTGAAATGCTTTGAAGAGTGGTGTAAAGATAAAGGTGTCGTTGTAGACCTTAAGACAGTGTCAAAGGAGCAGGTGAATTAAATTTGGTGAGATTTCTATGTCATTGTCACGGTAAGGCAAGCAGCTGTTGGGCTCAGTACTGAACTCAACCATTAAATGAATGACCTGCTACTCAGTTGGTCCTTGTGTATCCTAAAAGACACATAGTTTACAACGTGCAAACTATTCACCGGCGTTGTGAAAAACCTTGAAAAAAAGTTCATCATGCATCATTATCAGAGGGTGACTTCAAAGTGGTTAAGAAGGTGCTGGAACCTAACACTCTAGAGGGTCTGGTAAACAAAGTGTGCAAATAAATGTACATTTAAATCTCACCAATATCTATATTGAGAAATGTCAATTCATACATTATTAGTTCTAGCAGATTAAGTGATGGTTAAATGTTTTCCTATGATTTAAACTTAAAGGAAGAATAGTAGTATCATATTAAAATTAATAGATGTGACTATCATCTTGTCATGAAAAATATATTTAGGGCCCAAGCACTGAACGTGCAAAGGCCCTATTGTAATTGAAGGAATTCTTTTTCTTTTTCTTTTTCCTCCTAAACGAACGCATATTTGGAAGCTTGCCCATGCTCAAAAACTCATGAAACTCGGCAC